ATATTTATTGGCTTAAGCCTCATATGTCATAGAGTATTAGTCGAAGACAATATGTGTAATAATTAATATCATGACAACAATACTAAAAACATTGCATGTTTAAATAACTCGTTGTGGAGCCCAATTAGAATACTTTCTTGAAATATCCTCTGCAGACAACTAATTAATTTATAGTTATTATCTACCAAATCAGTATGTGAATGAGTCAAGCAAATTCATGTTTTCTTTAATATTAAGTTCATTCACGTACAATTTTTTTATTAAATTTTAAAATGCCCAATTTTTCATATTTACAAATAATATTTCAAAAGTTAGTAATAATCAATTTGCAAAGAATTCATTTTATCACTTTTAAATTTACATAATTATCATAATATGTGAAATGAGTGTGCGCGTAACCTACAATAAGTATATAGAGCATGTTCTTCTCAAAATCCATGGCACGTCATTAGTCAGCTGATCAGTTTTATCTGACATCGCTGTCCACTGTTGCACGGTCGTCTAAAATGAAGCAATATCAGGTAATTGAGAAAATAATGACAAAAAATAAAAATATGTTAAACCAATCATTACAATATATTTATTAATATTCAAATTTTGTCATAATTTATATTTTAGAGGTATAGATTCATTTATCTTTGACAAAGTGGGTTAGATTTTTATTTAGTATTATTCAGTACTTCAATACGCTCTCTTAAGTTAATATATTTACAGTGTTGTCATTGTTTTGTGTATAACAGTCTTCAATAAGATCGTATACAATTTGGATTTGATGATCCAGCGATCCACTGAATTCACCTTAAAATACATCAGTGGATCAAACAGACTTTCGCTATCTTCACTGGTAATATTTTAGCACCTGCATGATACATGTAGTTTAAAAGAACTAAAAAATGTATAAAATAAATTGTTTGCAAATTCTGGACGACTATCATATAAAATATTAATAGTAACTGACTACAAAAACCGTTTGCCAGAAGCCATATATATAAAAATTATTAATAAACTTAACTTTGTATTATAGATACCTCTATATTCTATACAAACATTAAAAAATTATAATTATAGATAAAGATAAAAAAATAATGATTTGGACTAAACGATAAAGAAATATACAAGTATAGAGAATCTAATATCACATAATTAACTAGCATATATGAAAATAAAAAAAATATTTATTGTGGAACTAAATACTAATGATTAGTGACTTATCTAAGTATATAATATAAACAAATAAAAATGACAAAATCACACTGAATGACAAAATGTTATACACAATGTTTAACAAAATCTATGCAAAAGTACTTAATTTTCAAGTAGGAAATCGTTCATGTTCTTGTTACAGTATCAACAATTACGTAGGCTGTTAAAAACACTCAAAACTTGAAATGAGGTATCAAAATTCTTCTGAATATTTGTGGAAAAAAATGTATAAGGTACCAAATGACCAAAGACATTCGCCAAAAATGTGTAACAATTATGTCAAATTTTTCATTTAACAGTGTATCAAAATGTGAAAATTATTGAAAACAAAATAGAGTAAACTGAAAAATTAATGAGGACCAAAAAATAAGATATTGCTGTGGGTCAGATACACCTGATTGCGGCTATGTGCGTTACAGAAATCGAAAAACTCGAGATTCCTCTCGAGCTGTTTTCTCGACTCTAAAAACATTATTGACGATTCTACGCATCAGTTCAAATTTTTCTAAGCGATAATTATCAATTTAATTGGTAATTGTGATATTTGTAATTAAGTTTTGAGTTAGTTAAAGCACGTCGTGCTTCACTTAATCTCTGAACCTATAGAATAACGTAAAAACTGGTGTCGGAAGTAGGATTAAGTAAACATTTAGTGAAAAATTATTTTCCAGAATTCTTATGGTCAAACCAAGATGCGATATTAAGATAACGTAACAATGTCTTGATATAAGAGGCATCACAAACAATGAAATAAAAATACGTCTGTGGATTATCTCAGTCCAGCCACAAAATATGGCGACCTAAAGTGTAAAATTAGCTAGACATAATGAGTTATATCTTCAAACTTGTCACATCAACGTTGGTGTACTATTGACTACTTCAGTCCTACAGTCTCTCTTCCAAATCTTTATTAAACATTGAGTAGATAGATAATATACTAAACAAATGGGCTTTATATTTTCGTCAAACGGTTTTTTAGCTTATTGTACAATAATAAATGTATTTTATATCAATTTATCACAAGACAAATTCTTTACATAATAATATTTTTCCTCATTTTGAAGCTATTTTCGTTTGGTGTCACCACAATATTGAAAAGAGTTTGTCATAACGTTTGCAGTGATCGGTGTGCAAATTCTGACTAATACAGTGAAACTAGACATTCTATCAAAAAAAAAACCGCCAAAAGTGGACCTATGGGTATAGTCATTGATATTTTGGCTATATATTTTGTAACAATCTATAGGATCGTGGTGGTGATAGAATACCCGCCAAATTCGACCACTGGATGAATAATTTTGAATGAGTATTTAGACAGTTATTTAGATAGTAAAACAGTCTTTGGTATTTAAACAGTTGAGTCTCCAAATTAATTTCAAGAAATAATTGCGCTAGTGAATAAAAGTTGTTAATAAGTAGTACCAATAATAACCTATGAATATTTATACCAAAATTTTTACAGAATTTTTGATAAATTTTACAAATTTTTGTCTAATTTCACTGTACAACTAAGCTCAAACACAATCAATCCATGCCCTCTGGTCGCTTCTGGCATTAGTTGAAATTAAGTTTTCTCTCAAACGAAAATAGCTTTTAATTTGCTCAAGTCCTTAAGTAAACAAAAGTGCACTCTGCAAATGCGATTTCTATTGTCTAAAGTAAATACAATTTGGTTGCTGCTGCTACTTGGCGAAAGATTTGAAAATCATTTCAATGTTTTAATTAAATCAACAGTAATATTAAGAGTTCGCCACGCTCGATTTCCGGAGTCAATTTAATGTTTTACCCGAAGCATTGATAAATACTTTTACAAAGTGTTCTATTTCGATTATTGTCAGTATATACTTGAATTCAACGTTAATTAATAATCTACATCTCAATTCTTGTCACTACAACGCTGCTGAGATTTTTACAGGTATGATAAAAGGAGAATTGATTAAAATTAAGTGTAAATTTTTAAATGATCCTAAAGTAGTGGTGACATTTAGAATTGAAAATGACAAACCGTTACGCCCCAATATAACCAATGCTAGAATAATTAGACGTGGCAACGGAGATATCATTACGTCCCTAGTATATAAATATTAAATGTTTTTGCCACAAATTTTACGAATGTAAGGTAAGTCTTAAAAAGTATTTTAAATGTTTCAAAAAATGCCGTCAATAACTATTTTGTAGGAGAAATCTACAAGCAGTTCTCAAGAAGCAGATAGATTACGAGGAAGACCCAAAAGGAGATGTGAGAATCAGATAATAGAGGATTTTCGGAAGATAGGAGTTAGAGAATGAAAAACCATATGCAGAATGGACACAATGAAGAAGTATTGTGCAGAAAGACAAGTCACATAACCACTTGTAAACTGAAAAGTTAATGCAGGGGCTGATTTCCCGCGACAAATAATTCTAGAAGACTCAAAGAGGATGGCAATCGCTGGGTCGGAAGTCTAGATGTCTTGATGATGAAGGTATTTTGTAAATAGCCTCGATTATTGACTTCCTTAATGCGACGTGTTAATCAGTAAAACAGTATTGGACCACCATATGCACAAAAAAATCTAGGCATTGCATCGAATGGGCAGCTTTGTCAACTGAAAGCAACGTCTAGTCAATATGTAAGGCAAGGAATGATGTAAAAAAATCCATAAGTACATTTAGACAGACAAATAGATGGCTAAATGTTATAAACATGTTCGAAAAAATTGTAAAAATGTATCAACAAAAGTAGAGAATGTATATGTGTAATATGTGAATGCCGATACAGCTGTAACATCACGAAGTAAAGCTAAAGTAAAAGCGTATTTCAATCAACATCGAAGAAATCACTGACAAATCTCTATGCTTTTCCCATCCTTTTAGAGTATACGTAAGATCTATCCTAATTTGCATAAAAAAACATAGTCAACCAGAATCACATACTGCAAGTTCAAATTAAGTAAATGCTGCAACTGGAAGACGAGAGGAGCCGATGAAGAAGACAAAATAAAGCCAGTGTCATGGCCCCCCATCCTCATTAACATATGCACAAATGACCAGGTATATAAAACACTTCCTATATATCGACGAGCTGGGTAACACTGCGCAATAAGGAACCTTTGAGGAAATGGAAGACAAACCAGAACAGCTCCTCGATATGACGCTGAACTACTACCGAAGCCACTCAGTTGAACCGAACAGTACTGCGATGAAAATGTTGAACTACTGGACACGAAAAACTAAACTAGAGAGTGAGAAGATTTACAGAAAATTTGATTTAATGTTCGAAAAAAATTCAACTGGGTATTAACTATTTTGTAAGTAAAAATATTTCAAAAGAATTGTTGGTACATTGTAAAATATATTAAAACTGTTCATATTTGTTTTAAAACAGTTAGATGACTAATAATATATCAGTTTTATTTATTTTTACCAAGTCGGGTATCATTTTTATTTAAGGTAGTCAATCAAAATGTTTTCTACATCTTTCAACAAGCATGTATTCCACCAAATTGTATATATTCTGTAATAGACAGAACATATAGTTAAGAACATGAGATTTACTACAAAGAAAATAAACATTCGGTTAACAGTGTAGTAGTTACTTTTGTTTTTTCAGATTTTAGTAAATTATATGGTGGTAGCACTGCTATAAAGTGTTACCACGTCACCGAAGGACTCAAGCAATATAAACACACAAAGTTCAAGCATCCACCATATCAATCATTCAACTTCTATCTTTTAAAAGGAAATAGAAAATCACCATATTAAAAAATTTGAATAAATGTCCATCGAAATGATAACGAAACGCACAGATAACCATTTTAAGTGCTAGTTCCCGCTTTGGAAAACTGCTCTTCGTGCTTCTCGGAGATGTCGTCCGTTAACAAAAAGGTTACATAGTGTGTCAGCCTTGTAGGTAGGCAACCCGCATTCAACTGATAGAATTCCACGAGTTGTAGCAGATCGTAGAACTTGGTCGCCCCGTTGTCAATCGAGAACACGGGCCGATCTCTAAGGGGGTCTAGAATCGGGTTGACTTGTGCATGTATAACTTTCCCCCCGCATTTGTAGGTTATCACATAAGAACCAGGATTGGAACGACTATCACGAACTAAGAATACCCTAAAACATAAAAAAAATACATCAGGTAGGTAGCATAAATACACACATTAATAAATTAATGATAATATGGCATTTCTATTGTTCTGAAACTGTTCTGATACAATTTTTATTGAACATTGACATTTTATTGAACATACAAAATCGACTGTCGCTTCAAGCGTTGTTTCTAAGAGAACGGTTCATTCTAAACAAAAAATGCTTATAAAAATTTTTATTTCATAATTTAATCAGCTACATTTTTTATTTAAAACATTTTTTTCTACGGTGTACAGATTCTGTGTAAATCGATTTTTTTGCGTTTTTATCCCTCTGCGAGGGGCTTTTAGGGGGAAGCCCGGGGGTAAAAGTGGTTCATTTTTTTTGCTTTTTTTTTTGGGGTCCCAAAATTAATATTTACGGCAAAATTCAGCTTGTTTGTATGTTTTTTTGAGATTTACTGGCATTTTGACCATCTGACGACTGGAGTAAAGGAGACCGGGGTTGGTTGGGCACAGGGGTTGTTTGGTATATTCAGAGAACTACGAAGTTCTCTGGTATATTTCTAATATTTCGGCATCCGTTCGGGTAAAACCGTTGCTCTTGGAATACGCGGCAGTTGACGACAGCTATCGTTGGTGTGTGAGCGTCGTTTTGTGAGTTTTACTTGGTTGCACGTGGTTTTGTCAGCCGTAAGTAAATATTTATGTATAGTATTGGCGACGTGCAAGTACTTGGAGGGGATACGAGAAACGATCGTGCGCGAGTAGTGGAGAAATTTTGCATTTTTTACTGTACATTTCATAGATTATAGATTTCATAAAATCATATTGTCAATTGTCATATTTCATATTCGTTTTGTTTATTTACACCTTCTGTCACTGAAGAAAATGGGATTTAGGAAATGCTGTGTTATAAATTGTAAAAATACAACAAAAAATTGTCAATTTAAGTTTTATTTGTTTCCAACTTCGAAGCACAAACCTACTACAAAGAGAAAAGTGGATTTATATCATAAAAAAGCATAAGTAACATAACCTAAATTATGCATTATTCTTGCGCCCGATTTTAAAGTCAGTTTGAAATAAATAATAAATAAAAGTTCACTTTTAAGTGTAAATTTTAGTTTCATAACACTCGCTTAGAGTTCATTTTAACCCAAAAATCAAGTTTAATGTTTGAATTTTATTTTTAAGTTTACAAACATGCATCAAGTTCAAGTTTTTCTGAAGATGCATTAAGATATATTCGCTGTCCAAAAGTTTACAGGGAAAGAATTAATTGTTCAAACCAATATGATGATATCATGGGCTTAACCTGCTAATTTGTGCATTAGCATTATTTATGGTAATTTATTTTTCTTAATTCTTCCACTCCACATAATTCTTCCATTCTTTTTTGAGATTTGCCACTACTAAAGCTTTTCCCTTTGACTCGTACTTGGTTGAAAAGTTAATTGGTGATTTACTTTCTCAAATCCAGTTTTTATTATTGCATCCATATTAACAGTAATGCTGTAATTCAATAATATATTTATTTGTATACCCGGTTCGCTAATCCCAGTCCGAACTGTCTAGTGATTTTAGTAATTATGTTTTTACGAAGTTAGTTACTTTTTGACAGACTAGAAGTGGCTGGAAATTACTATACGACCAAGCACACGTGCTCATAGCGCATTTCATTAAAGTATTTCGTCGACCTCTTTTGCAAACTGACTTAGAAATTTATAGCACGTATAAAGATAGTAAGTTTCTATTATATGTAAAAAATATATTTTATAAAAAGGTTACCGTAATTTAGTTTATATCGTTAGGTTACGCCAAATATAGGTAACCAACTTAAACTTTTTGTTAACATTTATGCTGAAGTTTCTTGAGAATATATTTAATTTTATTATTATTTTTTAAAGTAATGATAATAATGTTGAATAAGCCATATTTCAAATGGTATATAATCACAAGACGTACTTAATATTGTGTTATATAATATAATCCTCATAAAGTACGTTAGATAAAAAATATAATATTCATTATAATTAAAAAATATTATGTATCAAAAAGATAATACAATATCATCAAAAATATAATTCAAAACTATTATAATATTCTATTATTACTATCATAAACTAGTTTTTTTTCTAATTTTAGCTAATTTCTATTAGAAACGTACTTTATGAAGATTATATAAAATAATATTAAGTACTTTTGTGATTAAATATCATTTAAAATATTGCTTATTCAGCATTATTATCATGACTTTTCTGGAAAATATTAAACGTTTATTAAAAATATTCTCAAGAAACTCCAGCTAAATGCCAAAAAAGTTTAAGTTGGTTGCATACATTTGGAGCAACTTAACGGTATAAACTAAATTACTGTAACTTTTTTATATATAATATACATTTTATATATAATAGAAACTTTATACATGCTATATATACATAGATGTTAACTGAAATGTTTTTGTTATTAAGAATATATTTACAGAACTTCATAAATATATTTTAGTGATCAACCTACGCCGAATGAGCAAATAATTAAAAAAATGGTTGGTGTTTTGAATAAATCTTTGTGCACGTTGATTACCTTGTAATTTAACAGCATCCTATTAATCATCTAAAAATATTAACTTTTAAAGAACATTTATCATATTTATTTAAGAAAAACTTACCAACGCATTATCTGATAGAACAAATGGAAAACTTTGACTATCCCTAATAATAAAATTCAAAATAGAACTATAACTAAATAAACTAAATAGAACTAACAACAATATTTACTACAATATAATATTAAATTGTAGTAACTCAAATAGTATATTTTAAATATACAGGGAAAATTTGATGGGTTTAGTATACACTTCCACTATTTAGAATAATTCTTCTTTTTTTCAAAGAAAGAAGTCTGCAATAGTAGTATACTTGAGCTATTAATACTGAGAAGTAGGAATTGTTGTGTTGTAGGTTTCCGACAATGAGTCTGTCAAAATATGCCCTAGCTAAGCGAATGGAGAATATTTACGCTACATCAACGTTTACCTTTTAATAACATACCGACATAACCTCAATCTTACTTTTTCTTCTTATTCTTTTTTGGGGCCACGTCCTTGACAGTTATCCGGTAACCTCGATCTAACATGAAAGCGCAGTAAATTTGGCTGATTTACGACACCAGGTGTCGCTGTTCCGAACTTGCACGGTCCCAATAGGTACCATAAGATAAACTGAGATAAACCCACGCGCACGCGATCAGTCTATCTCTTTTGCGCGTGTGACGTTACTCGGCGACAAATGTCACCAGAAATGTTCTGTTTTGCATGGAGTTTTGTCAGATTTAGTATTGTTTTATCGTTTATCTAATACGTTGACAAATAAATGTGTGCACTTTTAGATAAAATATATTTCAGAATATTTGGTGATAAACTTTTATCACCAAGTGACATCATGCGCATCGACGTACAAAATTCGATTGCAAAGTGGTTTTATCTTGGAAGTCATAGTATCATGGGTAGGTACGTATCCAGGGGGTTTAACGTTACACTTTTAAGTAAACAGATTTTAAGAACAAGTAGAAAAAAATGGTTGGTTGTTGAATTTGGATGTTATTATTTTTATTATATATTACAATAATGTAGGTAGGTATATTAACAAAACAATATACGTTTTTTATAGAAAGATCAAGAATGATTGAATAAAATATATTTAGTCTTATTTAGCCTTTTTGAAGTAGGATTTACTTCTCGGTCCTCTGATTTCCCAGTGCATAAGATATTCAGAGCTAACCATCTTTATCAGCTCGATACGGTAACAACTGAAGTCTAGTTCATCAGTACATAACGAGAAAGCATTACCTGAAGAAAGGTTACTTACTACAGACAAAACATTGCCAACCACTTACACAAAATTTCATATAATTATCACGGGAAACAAGTGACATTTCAAATAACTTTTTTGCCCCCTTATTTATGTCCACCTAGCGGACAACACAGGCACTAAACTTTAAAAATCAAATTCACCTCCAGTTATACATTAATTTATTATTACTACATCTATGTTTACCACATTACAATCAAGCATTTAGAAAATAGGGGAATAGAGAAATGTAAGTAAAACTTAAGAAAATATTGTAGGCATGGAAAATAGAAAAGAAAGGAAAAATAAATGAAGTAAAAAGACATACCTATACTTGAACTGAATCTTTCTGTAATTAGGAGATTTATTTCGAAATTTTACGTTGATAAAATCCCAAATCGTTAAATTGCTGCCTCCGGTCTCGTTATGATTAAGAAGCAGCATAATTATCTTTTTTTTGTAAAGTCTTTGATTTAAAGAAAACAAAGAAAATAATTATAAAAGCTGATAAGGCACTTCAAGCAAACGCGACTAGCGACTATGGGGCCATAGGGTCGATACAAATTTGCTCGCCTTGAACCCGAAGTCCGTGGGCAGTAATCAATCATACAACAAAGTATCAACAGTCTAACAGGCGTGGTAAGTCTCTATAATTTTTATTAGGCAAGGAAATGTTCATCGGTTTTACTGCCCACTCGATTGTAGTCAACAGGTTTTGTTAAATATTAACCATGTGGGATAACGAATTTTCCAAATAAGGTTTTTTTAGAGATTTTTATTGGACAAACCCTTTAAAAATTTAAAATTTAATCAAACAAAATCTGTTAGCTTTAGTAAATATATTTAAAAAAATGGCACAATGATTATTATAAACAAAATTTGTATTTTGTAGAAAAACGCTTATTTTCACGAGATATGGAGTTTACTAGATGAGCCAAATCTTCTGGTGTAATAACTATTTTCAGCCTTGACCATAGATTTTCTATTTCATTTAAGAGAATAAATGGATTTTAAATAAAAATAATTGTTCCCCTAAAAATGGTTTTCAATAATTTTATTGTAATAGAAATTCACATCAATATATAATCGGTGCCAATCAACATGTTGGGTATTGAAAAATTATAAAACATGAGGTTTAAGAAGTGGTACTGTTCAATCACAAATGAGTCCATTA